TTTTTTTAATAATTAAAAAATTGGTTTCTATATTCTTCAGAATTGAGTAATTTTTCAAAATAGTGTAATTTCTCAATATCGTTCAATAATTATGATATTTAAACAGCATTTTTCATTTATTTTACTCAAGTTTGAAAGTTATTGCGTTATTTTATAGTTTCATTTTATTTCATCATGGAACTTTCGAGCACAATACCTATACGAGACATTTTATGACTTGTGAATATTTTAAATATCATCTCTACTTAAATATACATCAGGGTTTTATACCCGTCGTAAAAATTTAATAGAAAATGCCTACACGTTTACAGTTACTTGTATATAGAGTGCATCCAAATAGTAGTAGTAGTAGTAGATTTAAAGTATTTTAACGATATCCTTGCACTGGGAAAAGTAGCTATAACTTGTTGTCTCACTCCATAATATAATTACGTCAAAATATATTTAAAAAAAAAAACATTATTTAAGAATTGTTTTTAAATATATGTATAGATAAACATGTCAAGGATAATTACTATAAAGTCAACCGACATTATTCATATTTTACTTTTTCATTATAAATATGAAATGACGCCAGATATATCAGAGCAATGTTTTTTTTTTATTATTATTAAATTTAGTCGCATCCACCAAAAGGTTATTAGCGACGGAACAATACATTAATTATAAATCTAAATTTCATATAACATTTCGATAGATTTTAAATAGTCAATAATGTTTTTAAGAGGAATATCAAATAGTTTATGTTGTTTGGGGATGTTGTGAGCATTTCGATTGATTTGATATTTTGAACATTCGATTAAAAAATGATTTACGCTCTTGACGACACTGCACTCTTCACATATTGGTGGGTTGACGGAAAGATCGAATGGAAAGTCAATCTCTAGGTGACTAAGATAACTTCGAATTCGCTCATAAAAGGTTTTGATGTGTGTGGCGTATTGCTAAAGTAATTGATATATTTTTTAGTAAAGGTATTATTGAAAAGTGGCTGATTTCTATTAGAGGCTATCGAAGTAGCATGTGATAATGATAGATACATTTTTCGGTAGTGCAGAGATGGTTTTCCAGTTTCACAGTAGATACCTACTTTTAATAGGGGAAGTGCAAAAGGCTCCCCGAGCAATACGAAGAGCAGCATTGTGTACAGTGTCTAACAGTTTCAAAGTGGTTTTGCTGGCTGATTCATATGCAATAGACCCGTAGTCAATCTTTGATCTTATTAAAGTTTTATAAATGGTTAGTAAGGTATGATAGTCTGAGCCCCAGTTTCTGTTTGCCAGAGTCTTTATTATGTTTAGTCTCTTATGACAGCAAAGGGTTAAATGTTTTATGTGTTCTTTCCAGGATAGCTTTTGGTCGAACCACATTCCCAAGAACTTTATTGATGGTTTGAAAGATATATTTTCGTTAAATAACTGTAAAACTGGAAAGATAACAGAAGTTTTCTTGATCACGAGTCCTTTAATTCATACAACTGATATATGATAATTACATATCAAGTAATCTTCCTAGGTATACTTCCTGAGTAAATTTTTTAAGTAAACTTTCAATGTAAACTTCTTAAGTAAACTGCCTGAGTACTTCATGAGCAATTTCTTAAGTAAACTTTCTAAGTAAATTTTCTAAATAAACTTCCTAACTAAACTCCATAAGTAAACTCATAAAGTAAACTGCCTTTGTAAACTTCTTGAGTAAACTTTCTAAATAAATTTCCTAAATAATCTTACAAAATTTGTGAAACTCTTCTTAAATTTCGTTTTCGACATGTTGGAATAGAAATCATGTACTCTCTAAATTTGAGTAAAATCTACTAGAGCCATACTGTATAATTGGATTCTGTAATAATTTGAAACAATAAAAAGATGGTGAAATCTGTGAAATGAGCTATGGAGATTTAGGCCACTTTTGCTTTCATTTTATTATGAAATAAAATGTTCTCCACCCTGAGGTATATATGATTTAAATATTCCTACATCGCAAACTTTTGATGTAATAATAAACCTTGGCTTTTAATATCCATATGTGATATGAAAACTTTAACAGCGCTTTCGGAAAATTTGCCAAGCTTTGATAAGAGTTAGAAGTTTTGAGATATTTTCACAAGGCTAATTTAAAATTATCAAAATTTTAAATGTTTTAAATATTATTTTTTATTTTATTTGATTTTGGTTTAAAATGGAACACATTAAGTTATGAAATCAGTAAAAAAAAACATTGCAAACATTTGTTTATTTTGTAAACACAATGGGAATACATATTTTTTTCACTTTTACTATCATGGTGAAGTAGTTGAACATGTATTAATATTAAATATTGATTAAATGTATTAAAGATTAAGGTATTTTTAAAAAACAACGCAAAATTGTATTAATTTTTTTATTAAAATTTCAATATTTTTAACAGAAACAGACAACAGACAAGTACTTGGTACGTTACCACATCTTTAAAATAGTTTAAAACTTCTTAATTTTTTATCATTTATGCAGTACATCAAGAATATGTTATTTTTTCAAACATACACATAATATTAAATATATTCACGAAAATTACAAAAGGTTTATATTCCAAAAAATTCACTTTAATAAAATATAATTAATTAAAAAAATAGTTGTTGAGGTTAAGTGAAGATAGTTTTTAAAGAATACCAGATGAGTTTTTGAACAGGCAATATTTATAAAATTAAATATCAATGTTTTATATATATGGTTTTGTATATTATAGCAACTTTTGTAATTTTTGGAAACATACATATACACTGTTGAATACAATGAAAAAATTATTCTTCATAATGAAAGACAATGTACACAATAGATTTACACGTTTTACTTAAAAAAATCAGTCTATACACAATAATTTGTAACTTTCATACTACTAAATATATAGATACTACATTTATTTAATATTTAAAATAAATATATGTTTATATTACAAAAATAAAAGTAGTTTATATACATTTAAATTCTAGAGCCTAATGGTGAACAAATTAATATTGTTTTTAGATATCAAAAAGAAATTATTTGATTTGCCTATATTAATTGTTATTTTTTTCTTTTCAGTAAGATTAATACTAAAAAATAAAAAATATACGTTAATAAATTTAATAAGGGTACTAAATTAGATCTCAATAATTTTGCAGAGCAATTGCTAAACAACTAAACACTTTTTTAAATAAAATATACATCTTGGTGTGAAAAATTTTGAAAATGTATTGAAAATTATACATCTATTTTATTAAATAAATACATTTTTCACTCGTATTAGAATTTTAATTGCATTGTTTATAAATCCATTAGACATCGTACCAACAGAAAAAAATATATTCATTAATTAAAAATAATATAAAAAATGAAAAATCACTTTTAAATCAAAAGAATTATTTTACCACAAATCACCATTAATGATCTTAAATATAATAGTTTCTTGGTCTTCACTTTGAGGAGAAACTCACTTGAAGAACAAAAATAAAAAAAAATTAAAAGTAAAACAATTAGATTAAAAATTAAAAAGATATAATGAATAATCAATAAAAATCGCAGTTATCCATAGAAAATAAAATTAAAAATTTATTAAATATCAATTATTTGGGCATGCGTCATTGAAATGTAAGATGCAGTTTTAAAATTTTGTAGTGTTTCTAATCCAGAACCACCATTGTACATTCAAATGAAACTATGTATGACTAAGTAAGAATATAATATAACAATGATCATCATAACATATAGTGCAATTCCTAAACAACTTATTAGAGATAATTCTAATGTTTATTAATTTTCAAACAAGATATGAAAAATTTGAACTACATTTACGATGATCATGTTGATATCAATATGAAATTTTAAGGATTTTAAAAATTTATAACGAAAATTTAAAAAAAAAAACTTTGTAAAGTGACTTGTCATTGAAACATTTTAGAAAATATTATTACTCGAGTAACTAAACAACTATTAAAAGAAAAAATACAAAAATATTGAACAGTAATACAATTAAATGACAAACTTTTGTGAAAAAACATATCAACCAGTTATAGGCCCCCTTTAAACAATTGGATGCTGTTTTAAGAAACCAAAAATAAATTATATTAAGAGCTCTTGACATTAAAATGTGCTCCCAATAATAGTTCAAACCAATTTAGAAATCAGTGCACAGACTGTTCAATAACATGTTTAACCTATCACTAAAATAATACTAAAAATATTTTGTCCCGAAGATATAAAGAAAACATTCAGAATCATTGCTAGAAAATATTATGTATTAGAATGTAAAATTGTAATAAATAAATAAAAATATATTTCGACCCTCAATCCCTATTTTAAATTCACCTAAATTCTCTTTAGAGTTAAAATCGAATATTGTTATCCGATTTAATGCATATCCATTTGGATTAAATCATGGACAAAACATTAATAACTTATTAATATTTATACATTTATATTCTCATTTAATCATTTAGGTATAAATATATACATTTATGGAATTGCATTAAATACAAATATATTCAATAGATACCGAAAAGATTTGAAAACGATTTATGGATCAGTTAATCCTATTTACATTTATTTTGTATGTGATATTTAAATAATAATTTCTTACTGACAGAACAATATATTAAAATATAAAATATTTTAGGTTATAATAAATTAAATTTATAAAAGAAAATATGAGATCGTAACTTGTACCAAAAATGAAATATTTGTTTAAAATGTTTACTTTTTTGCAAATACTTATTATTTATAAATATTTGAGCATTCGGATTAGAGATAGAACTTTTTTTTATAAAAATGTGGTCTAAAATATGGTCTTTTATTTATTAAGTAGAATCAAAGATATTATTTTTTTCTTAACAGCTAGATCAAACAGTTTTAGAGGTAGATTTATATAAATTACTTCAAATAAAGAAGAAATGTAATATTTTTTTAGCTGATTCATTATAAACAAAAAAATGAAACATTAAATATTATATACGTGCACTGTATAAATGTAATCTTTTTTTAATACACCTTAAATATTTTTATAAAAAAATATATATACATCAACCTTAACTAAATAAACATACAATAATTTCTGCCTAAAATACCAAAACCTAAACTGTGTTCATGGTATGTCTTTAAATTTATTTAATATGGGCTATTTTGTCAAAATATTTTATTTTGTTTAAAAAATATTCCATGTTTAGGACCTGAGATATATTGAAGAATATACGGTGTCAAATTATTTTAGCAGAGTATAAGCAGTTCACATTTTTTTAAATCGAGAATGGTTATGAAAATCAGATATCATACACTTTCTTAAAGTGCAGTTTTGTTGAATTTTTAATTCAATAAATTTTCCTTTAGATATTCAGAATATAATCCAAGAAAGAAGAATAAAAAACACGAACAAATCAAGTGCTTTTTAGATAAATATAAATAAATGAATTGATAATTTGATATGATGCTGATTTTATTTTATAATAACTATTTTTGGCAGAATTTAAAATTTTTGAATTTAGGATTTGATTAGGCTTATTTCTTAATATTAAGAGGCCAGTAACATAGCCAACTTATCTACATAAAGAAAATAGTTGAAAGTTCCATTAAAAACAAATATGGACCATCTTCAGGGAAAAGGGTTAATCCAGTTCATATGTAATTCAACTTAAAATTAACAACACAAAAATACCACATTTTTAAATTGTTTTCTGCTCTTATATGGTAAAGAATCAAATTGTAACGAAGTTGATAGGAAAAAATAAAAAAGAAAACAAAAACGGAAGTTAAATAAAAATGGCATAGTTATTGGGTATACTAGACTGAAAATAAGTTTATTGTGGAAATACATTGATTTGTTTTGCATATAACCATCTAAATGAACCAGGTATAATTATCAATTATTAATTATCGTGAGTAATATACCAAGACCTTGATAATAGTCAGCTATTTTTATTGAATCTAAATCTCGAGAATATTTTGATATTAATCAATTGATTATTAATGCCAAAATTATGTAGAATTAAATTGTAAAATGTTCGAGAAATTTAGCAACAACAAAAATAGCAGAATATTAATCAAGGTTGTGTTATATTTGGAAAGACTATTTCACTAGACCAAATATTGACTATTTCTCTAGAGAAATAGTCGCTGATATTTGGTCTAGGGAGATAGTCAACTTAATTAATTTATTACGTTGAGTAAGATGATTCAAACACAATCTGTGAAGACCAAGATAGATCAAGATTTACAAAATGAAATAGTCAAATTAGTTCTCTATTGTGCGTTTCTACATGTTTTTTAAGAAAGTTCTTATACCCATAGCATTGTAGAAGTAAAACATTTGAAGCTGTAGGAAAATTTCAAAAGGATCTAGATAGTCAGATAATAAATAATTAAAACACAAATATATATAAAATCGGTCAAAATCTTTTGTAAATTAATAAAAAAACTACTAAAAAATTCTCATCCTGTATATCAAAAAGAAATTAAAATTAAACAATGTTGTATCGGACAAACAATATTTATTTTATAATAAATTATTGGCTGGTAAAATACTGACGATACAAACTGGACCACCGTACCCTGTATACCTACGTTCACATAAATATATGTCGTTGCATATATGACGCCTAGCTCTACTACTCGCTCTTTAAAAACAAATGAAAATATATTATATACCTTGTTTTATTTCGTAAAACCTAAAAATTGTGGTCGTAGAAAAATTATAGTGTGCAAAAACTGTTGCACAATGTTTTATGTTGAATACATGTTATTTTTTTTATTATTATTTATTTTTAGTTAATATTTGATTTTACGCTACCATCTCTTAAAAAAAAGTTTTTCTGAGATATTAATAAAAAAATCAGATAACGCAAACTATTTTAATCACACTGTATGACCTGTAAACTCATGTAAAATCATTCCGAAACACACTTCATGAAGTTATCAACAAATTGTGAAAATTTCACTAAAATGGGTCAAAATCTTTTTTAGATACTAATAAGACACCGTTAAAAAAAATAACATCCTGTATATTAAAAAAGAAGTTCCCTCGTACTTGATATATTTGCTGCATTTGCAAAGTACCTCGTTTTGTTTTTTTTTTTTACTCGAAACCGTTCTTTTTTCATTTGCTCCATTGATATGATTTGCTCGATGTCACGTGACTAAAAAATCTACTTGCTCTGCTCAAACGTAACATTTGTTTTTGAAATTTTATTTAAAAAAACTCAGATGACACAGTTTTTGATTCACACTGTATAATCTGTAAAATCATCTAACATAATCGTTCGAAACCCACTTCATAAATTTGTCAACAAACTGTAAAAATTTTATTAAAATCAATCAGATAGGTAATTTTAACACCCTGTACATCTGTAAAGAAATAAATTACATAATTTTTAATCGAACGATCAGTATTTTTTATAGCTATGCTGTTTAAGTTTTAATCCAATTCTATACTCAGTGCCTATACTATTCAATTCAGTTAAGTAGACGTGGCAACGATGTAATTATACCTAGAAGTGCATTCAAATTAAGCCCAACCAACGTAGCCTTTTGAATAAGAAAAAATATGTATTTGACAGTTTAACCAAATAAAACAGAATACAAAATTAAAATTAACATCCGGTTACTTAGTTAATTTTAACCAAACTACCTCTATTTTTCGAGAAAATACCTATACAAATCTTGACGTATTTGCAGATGCTTCAAATCGGGTACAAAAGCATAATAATTTGTAATTATTAAGTAGGCTATGGATTTCATTTACAAACTCCACAAATAAGAATATGACATATTAAAATGGCTGCAGGTGTGTAGTAGTGAAAGAACATTTTTTAAGAAAAAACATTGTTATTTATCGTTTTTGTGTTATATTAGAAATATGAAGAATTAGTTGGACTACATGATTATTATTTAGTAAAGGTAAGATAATGCATTTTATATAAAAGGCGAATAATAGGTATCTGTCAACATTTATTGTTTCGGAATCTGTGGAATCAGACGCTATCCTATTTGATTCATTATTGTAATAATATTAATGGAATTAAAAGTAAATACACTAATTTTTGTTTTAGACAATATATTTATTGTATGTAATAACTTGTTTTATGATATTTGTCTGGTTGACTTGCAATTCACAATATTATTTCACTAGGATCATACCTACCTATTTGCATTGTTATTAAACATATACCAAGAAGTTTTTCAAAATTCTGGTAGGTAGGTAGGTAGGTAGGTAGGTAGGTAGGTAGGTACCTATTACTAAAAAAAATACGTTTTTTTGTAGTTGTGTCTTAAAAATGTTCAGTTTTTTACTTTCATGTATACAGTAAGGAAAGTGTAGCAATCATGATTTTTTAAACCTCGGGTTTTTTGAGAGATTTTTAGATTTTGAGTAATTAGATTAGATTTTGGGAATAGTCAGTGAAATTTTATGAAACTTTGGTATGTTGTACCCAATCTATTAACCAAAAGTGTAATTATATACGGGGTATTAAAGTTGAAAACTGACCAGGTTTTTCGGAATTTTTATAATAAAACATACGAGCTAGATTGAATGTTGCCCACACACGTTTACTACATATTCTAGTAATTTATTAGTGCGAACGTACAATTTAAAATGTTTTTCTAAGGATTAAATAAAAATCCTATATTTATAAATTAATTTGTTCAAAAGATACAGGGTGATTTATTTGTTGGTAGATATTCTATTTTAAGAAAAGTACAGAAACAAAAAACACCTTATATTTTAAAATATTCCCTTTAGAATAAAATATATTTTTCAGTAAGTATATAATAAATGTATCACCTTTTTAAAATGTGCGAATTTTAAATGCGATTCTGGGACCATTTTTTAAGATTCAGTGCGTTAAAGGGGAGAATTGCTGAGTTTAGTTATTTTTTCTTCTAAACTGAAAAGATAAATTGACTTTATGTAGCATATATAAGTTTAATATAAGTTTTGGTCAGAATCTCATTAAAAAAAAGTTTGATATATTTACCGTTACAGTGTGTATCACGATTAAATCACAATATATTTTTGCAAAGAGTCAATAATTCTATAATTGCGCCACAGAAAAATTATTTATATAATTTAATATTTACCCGTTTACAATTTTGAGGTTAAAATATTTCGCTTAGTGTATTTTTTATACAGGGTGAACCATGCAGCGATCCACTAAAAATAAAGATGTTTTAATATTATTAAAACAAGACCTTGAATTTATTTAGTGAAGTTTGAGTAAGTTAATAACATTATTAGGCATGTAGTCCTGGAGGCATATTCGTAAAGCACCAACACGTTAGGAGCTCGGAAAAGTCCGATGCCGCGAATGACAAACTTGTAAAATCCCGACGTGTTAGAACTAATACGTCGGCGATTTATGAAACAAGAAATGTTTGTTTATTTATCACTCATCAGACAATTAATTTTAGTTTTATTTCCTTTTTTTATTGCCCATAGTCTGAATAAAAGAGGAATGCAGTAAAAGTGGGAATATAACGTCACATTCCATAGGGATATTTTGCAAAATAAGTTTCTGTAATATAAATAAAATCACGACATATAAAATGGTATATAGGCACTTCGTAGATTAAATTTTAAATTAAAAGTTATATTATTTACAAAAAATAAAAATAAGCCTTATGCTTCTGACAAAATTGTTGCACGTTAACATTGAACAAATTCTATTTAACCAATAAACAACAAAGAAAGATTATATGTTGTTAATGAGATTAAACTTTTTTAAATCTTTTGGCATTAAAAGTAACACCTCAGTATTTAAAATCAAAAACTACTGGTATTATTACCATTATCTTTTCTGGGGTATATTATTAAAGGGTCTATTAAGTTTTCTATTGCTATATCCACTTTCCAAATAGAATTTTTCACCTTTTTAACATGATCAATGCATTTCCTCCACTGTTCTCCATTTACCCCTGAAACTGCATTCAAAAACAAATTTCGCACATCAAGTAATTAAAAATAAAGTTACGAAAGCACCTCATTCGTTGGCGACATGTGTTAAAAATAATGTGGAATTATTAGGAGATAATTAAAAAAAAATAAACTTAATCAAAAAAGCAGTACTTAGGTACATGAAATTTTCGGCAATCCTGCTATTTACGTCGCCGCATGTTGCGCATGCGTAGGCAAACTTTTGGGGACAAGAAAAGTCGGTGTTTCACGAAAAAAATACGTCAAAATATTCTACAATAATAAGATATTTTTATGAATTTCTAAACATTTTCTTTGGCGCATGTCCAATCCGCGACAACGTAAACTACAGGTTTAGCACATTTCCTTTTACCTAAAAATAAAAGTTAATTTAAAATTTTAAAAATATGTATGCGACAATAATTTCTACTGTATTTACTTTTGTTAAATGTACAATTAACCTTTTTAACTTTAAATTACCAAATTTTCCTAATTATGTGCAGTATTAAACTACTCAAAATATACATATCCTAATAGTATCTAATTGTACATCAATGCATAAATAATTCGTATTCGCAAATCGCCGACGTATTAGTTCTAACACGTCGAGATTTTACGAGGCTGTTGTGTTCGATACCGAACTGATCCGAGTATCTAATATGTCGGCGATTTACGAATATGCGTCCTGGAGAGGGTGCCACTCCATCACAGCCAACACGCGTACCGAGCAGGAATATCTACAGAAACTGCCTTGGTACAGTTGACTTACGTAATCCAGGATGCATTGACAAACAAAGAAACGGTCGTGTGTGCCTTCCTAAACCTAGAAGGAGCGTTTGACAACACGCCACACGAATCTGTAAAAAGAGCACTTGCATACAGAGGAGTAGATAACACATCTAGGGCAGGACACCAGAGGATGTCCACAAGGAGGAGTTATATCCTCACTAATGTGGAGCCTAACCGTAGACGAACTTCTATGCAGATTGACTGACCTCGGCATACCCTGTCAAGGTTATGCCGACGACATAGTCATATTTGCTAGTGGTAAGTTTAGTAATATCCTGTGTGATATAGTCCAACGAGGACTAGAACATACTAAAAGATGGTGCCGTGAAGTGGGACTTAGTATAAACCCTACAAAAACAACACTAGTAGCCTTTTCAAGAAAAGAAAACTTAATCTCAAAACCGTTAAATTAGACGGGATAGATATAGAATAGAAAAATAAAGTCAAATATCTAGGCCTAACCCTGGACAACAAACTTCTCTGGAATACACATGAGAAGGAAGTAGTAAGTAAGGCCACAAAAGCCCTAATGGTATGCAGAAACATTGCAGGCAAACGATGAGGATGTAAGCCAAACCTTCTGCGATGGATGAATACTGCAATAGGGGGACCAATCATCACTTACGGGGCTATAGTCTGGAGTAACAGAACTAGTTTAGCTTTTACGAGAGCTAATATTTCAAAAGTACAAAGACTAGCCTGTGTTTGCATTACTGGTGCAATGAGAACCTGTCCTACGGCCACAATAGAGGTGATCTTAAACCTCACCCCTCTACATTTGATAGAGAATGTGGCAAAAAGGACCCGATATAAAATGATCAGGAACGGAGTAATCAGACGAAAGTCAGGACTAAAGATACCTGGGACATGCCCCAGGATGAAATGCTAAAGAAGTACAATTTTGTGAAAAACTTCAAAACCACAGAGCTGGGCTGCAAGAAAGAATGGAGCCAATAATCCATAGCGCTTGCAACCGAAAGACGTGCTATTCATTGTTATACGGACGGTTTTAAAAACATAGAAGGAACTAGAATAGGAGTGTATGGGCCGAGAACAAGCACTCCGAAAGCTTGGGAAAATACCCAAGCATATTCCAGGCGGAAATTCACGCCATCGAGAAGTGTATCCAGTTCAACATCGAGAGAAACTATCATAGACATGTCTGATAGTCAAGCAGCCATCAAAGTGCTGAGCTCTTACGTAATCAGCTCAAAAATGGTCTAGAGATGCCTAGAACAATTGAATGAGCTAGGCGAGAAAAATAGAGTTACTCTCACTTAGGTCCCGGGACATAACGGGGTACAGGGTAACGATATTACAGATAGTCTTGCAAGGAAAAGGGCCCAAACAGCCTTTGTAGGACCTGAACCGTTCTACGGAATCAGCAGTAACATAATATTAGGTGAGATTAAAAAAGAATTGGACAGTAGAAGAACCGATAATTGGAACAGGAGACAGGCCACGATACTTCTGGAAGAATAAAACCAGAAAAGATCGGAAGCCTGCATCTGCCTGAGCAAGAACAGGCTACGTATTAAGTTTGTTCCCGAAGCGAGTTCCAAACTTGTTACAAACATTATCTGATACGCATGCGTCAGCAGAATAATGTTTGGAATGAGTTCTGAATAAATGTGTGCTGGAACATTAAAAAAATTAATGTTGGTGACTATTTTAACAAAATACAGATCATTCGATTATATTTATTAAAAAAAGATTTTGAGGTTATACTTTATGATCATTTGAAAATTGCACAAATAAAAACTACCCTCCTTATTGTTATGTTTTGCTGTTACAACGCTGTATAAGATTTAACCAAAATTAAAGAAAATAGGCACTCACAAAACTAACCAAACATCCAATTGAAAACAAAGGAGAAAAAGAAGAAAAATTATTTTAAATGAGCACGCATGCGCAAAAGTAAAAGTTCGTATTTTATTTAGGAACTATTAAAACTAATAACAAACATGTTATGAACAAGTTTTTAATCTTGCGGAAACACCAAACAAATTCAACTTGTTTGGAACTTTGCTATGCGGGAACAGGTATTTTGTGCTGCGCATACTCAATATGTTAGGAACTCGCTTCGGATACAAACCTATTGTAACAGGGATTGTTACCGGACTAAAAGGACACCTAAGTAAACTGAGAGTAGTAGAGGATAGTTAGTGCAGATTCTGTGAGGAGGAGGACGAAACCTCCATTCACATCCTAACCGAATGTGTAGCACTCCAGAATCCAAGGGCACTATATCTAGGAGGAAATCAAATAGAAGAGGGAGATTTACCTAACTTAAAGCCACTTCATATCCTACACTTTCTTGAGAAAATAGGATTGGAAGGGTCGTTATAGGCATTGAGACATTTCCTTGGTGTATTGACGACAGAAGGGGACACAATAGATCTTTTAGGTAGCAGTGTATTAACACCCCATTCCCAACATAACATAAGGTGACATAGGCCACAAAGTGTTATTTTTTGCCAATGATGGGTTTAATTGATGATTGACATATGACTTAAAACTATATTTTTCGCGCGTGGTGAACCACGTGTAGGTTATCCACCTTCACTAGTCAACATCGATGTTGCTCTATAATGAATTTAAAATAAAATGTATCAATTATCTGTCTTTTTTAAACTAGTTTTCATTTTTAATCAAATTAACAATTTTTTTGAACACCTCTTAATAACTTTTGTAGCTCCTTGAAAATGAGCATATCCATGCTCGAAAGCTCAGAATAAATTTAAAAGAGTACACTTGTGAAATATTTTTGCCAAATTCCCCAAAAATTTCCTAATAAAATATTACATATAAGAAGATTTTGGTACGTCTATGCATATCGGGCAGTTAATATTAATTTAAGTATATATTTATAAATTTCATATCCATCCTAATTTAAAAACGTTGTGACTGCAATTTTATATACTATTTAGTTTCTCGATAAACATATAAAAAACCCGCTATCGTCCCATAGGCCACCATTCAAGACACTATTTTCGATGAACTTTACACATTCCCCCCGTAGCTAGGCCTCGGCGGATACAAGAAGGGACTTCTGGCTTTGGGGGTGCCGTTAGTTGGTCGTGTTCCGCCCCCATTGACCGTCACTATCGTCGTCGTAGTAATTTCCGAAGTACATGATTCCCTTTTGTGATAGATGTTGGTCGGCTGACTATATAATCTGGAAAAGAAATGAGAAAATGTAAAAAGAACATTTACAGTTTCATGATAAATATAGTTTCATAAAGGAAATACGTGTTGGTTTTTAGTAAATATAACGACATCGTATATTAGGCAATTTAAAACTATCAATAAAACCACATATTAGACACTCATCCTGTCAAATTTATCAAAAACCATTTGGACAAGAAGTTAGAATGCTTATTAATATCCAAATTGTTCAAAACAATTAATTATACCAAAATCTCAATTTTAATTTAGATTTACAGAATGTCTATTAGAAAACTCAAATTAAAAATAAAAAAACTTTTACAAATTGGATTATTTCAGACAAATCCTGACAATGTTTCATAAACTACAAGCCAGATAGAGACATTTTCTATATCTAATTTATAGTCCGTTCCATTTATAATCAAAATTACTCAACATACTAACATTAAAAAAGGGTAGCAGATTTTTATTAAACCTCACATTTTATATTATAGCTACAGTTACATACATCTATAGAAACCTAAAACTAATATAAAAGAATGTATAAGTTTAATTAATAAAACGAACACATAATAAAAATGATAAATATCCCATTGAAAATGTAATGGAACAGCGGGTCGTAGTATAAAATACATTAGTTATTATTATAATAATATTTATCTCTGCAGATCACCTAATTATAAGTTCATTTTAGCACCATAAGTAGACCTGAACATAAGCGAGGAAAGAACAACTATTATTATTATTAATATTTGCTATTGCGCTCCAATGGGACTTACATATGATTAGTGTTAAATATAAGCAAAAACATAGTACCACTGTTAGGTACCTAGTGCGCATGCACTCATTTTTCCTAAACAAAGTACAAACCTCAACGACTCTCTCTTGTGTCAGCTCTCGAACCGTAAACATATGTCGCGTAGTAAAAGTTAAGTAATGTACAGACTGCTATGATATTAGAATAATAAACTCTGTAATCCCAGTGTTAGTGTTTGCTATTCCTTCCCAAGCTTCCCGAATCCACAAATGCAACCATTAGAATTAGCATAAACGATGGTGTGTTAATAAGGTTATTTGTAATTTTAAGATAATTTACCCACATATGCTTTTATTCACCTTGTTTTTTTTTTCAAAAGTAGAGTTCTTTATCCACAGGTATTCCCTTATCTGGCTTATTAATGTCAATGAACCTATCAACAAAAAACAGATTTTTTTAAGAATAATAATATTAAATAATTTTTTTCTATTGGATCATATCTTATCTAGGTACTTCTGATTTAATGATGGAGGATATGAATGGTTTCTATAACTTAACTAACTGTAAATTTATTTCCATAGAGCTTAAAGAACCCAATCGAGCTTTATCAAACTTTTAGCAAAATAAAACACCGGAAAATTGTCATTGTCATTTTTACCACGTGGCCAATAGAGTGTTTATTACATCTACATTTAATCCTAATCTTCTATTACGTGATAAAAAATTCACATCTCATCAGATGCATCCTATGATGATAAACAAGCACAGCTATAAGCATGCAAATTTAATCATCTTAAATCTTTCCATGTAAAATATAAAAGACAAAAGGATTATTGGGCAAATACCGCAAAAAAATGAAAAAAAAAATACCTAAAGGCAAACCGTAGACACGTGTTTCTATTTTCACCGCAATAAACCTTCTTCTATTGTTTAGTTTCCCTGGGCTTGGATGCTTCTCCATAGCAGCTATAACTGCCTCCGTGGCGACGCTAAAATTTTCCTAGTAAGCACTAGGAATGTTAGCAAAGTCCACAAATGTGTGGTTGGCTTCTTGAATGATCTCCTGTTGATTTGATTTCATCGCTAGTTCCATTCTCTTTTGAACTTGGCTGCACCGTACTGATGAAGACCAATAGTCAGAAACACGTGTCTACGGTTTGCTTTAGGCATTTTTTTTATATTTTTGCGGTATTTGCCCAATAATCCTTTTGTCTTTTATATTTTTTCACCGCAATAAACCTTCTTTTATTATATAAATACATATATACTATATACATATATTTTTAAAATTTTGTGACTTATCTCGTAAAAAAATTGAGAAACATTTTTGACGTTAAATCAAAGAAGATAAACAAATTTGTTTTACATTTTCCACCAAATTTACCGTAATATTAAGCATTGCTCGTATACTACAAAAAAAAACGGTATAACTAAACTACCCATTATAATTGAGGTCGCACAAAAATCCATTGTTTTTTGACAAAATCGCCTATCAACCAGTACTTTATTCCAAACTTTTTCGTATATAACTACGTTTTAACAATATTTCACTTATTTTGAATGGTATCTGTTTTTGATATTCGCATGCAGATTCACATTAGATGCGTTGTAAATAAATTTCAATTTTCAACACTCGACCCTTATACGTCACAAACAATCGGTATTGAGTCGCCTCTACATTTCATAACGCATAGAAATATACGAGCGAGGAAATGTAAATTATATTTTATCATTTATTTTTGTAAAGTAAATTATGCAAGCTCGGGGCCTTAATGCACTTCACTGGAGTATTCCTTCCCGCTTATATTTCGAGATGAATCTCACATCCACTTTATAAAATTCAGTTTGTATTAGAGTTGTGCAAATGGCTGGGAAGGAATTTCTATTTGAATAAGGGAAGAACTTACATTTATTTCCGTACTCGATTCTTCTTGAATAATAGCAATTACTTAAGACGTATTTGAATGCTTTACATATTTATCAAAATTGCGTTTCCTAGTGTGCTACACCATTTAAGCAAGTAAATATATCTGTAATGGTTGACCCACAGCAATTATGCCCCAAAAATTAAATCATTATTAGCTCATCAGCCAGCCTATATGTAGAATATAGTTATCAACGTTCCTTTCCTATGTTAGCCAATACTCGTCGAACACAAATATTTGTCGGATAATCTAAGTATGACCAAAAACTAGGACCGACATTCGAACCTTGGCAAATTATGAACTGTATTAAATAATAATAATAATAATAATAATAATAATATTGAAAATACCTGTGCGATCCATAGAAATGGAAGGATTAGTACTTGGATGAAAATATCTTCTAATTATACACTTTATTTTAAACACTACTGAAATGCTTTTATTTTTATTACACGGCGCATTTAAAAACTACATACTCAAAATATTCTAGAATGATGAGTTCCTTTTTTTATTTTTACATCAGAAACCTCGGGTACAACTGCTTTAAGTTCTGAGTCACCATTGCCCATATTTTTGACGTCAAAGTTGCGATCACTTACGTCTTCATGGATTTCCGGTAATTCGAAATCAGGAGGATTCCATACCCCTTTACCACCTGCACCTTTTTTTTGATAAGGCCTTCTCCATAACCATTTATTGACTTGCGGCTGTTCTTCCAGGACCTTGGTCCCTGAACAAATCCAATTTTGGAATTTTGTCCGATACATATGATTTTTATTGTAAATGATCATGATCACATACTTCGATTTTCTCTTACTATATGGAGAATGGTCGCACTGCACAGCTTTCTGAGTGCCTTTTAAAAGGAGATAGAAAACTCTGCCATTTTGAACACTTATTACGTATTGCCTACATCTTGGCGCAATAGTTTTAGTGGTTATGTTATAATATTTACCCAAAGTCAGTCCCCAAAGATAATATTTACGAACCTACACTTAACAAATAATGAATATCTTGAAAACCTTGCTTTACTTGGTGATTTTATGTAAGATAGATAGATATAGAAGCAGAAAGTAGAGAGATATGCAAAAGTTTTAAAAATTTACACTGGCAATCTAATGTTAATACAATTACCAAACTTGTGTATTCTTTGAAAACGAGAATATTCGTGGAGGTACTGGCAGTAATGTTATGTTATGTTGGGAATGGGAAGTTAATACACTGCGACCTAAAAGATCTATTGTGCCCCCTTCTGTCGCCAATGCACCAAGGAAATGTCTCAATGCCTATAACGACCCTTCCAATCCTATTTTGAATGGGGCAGCTTGATTCATATGCCTCAAGTATTGCCCCATTTAGTTCTTCGAGATCGCTTTCCAGAGCAAGTGGGTGTCAGGGCCCCTTTTTGTCTGGATACGTGCTAAATTTTGTTTTTCTAGGATTCCTCGTGAGGATCGTCTCAGGAATGTCGCTCTCTAACGTAAACACAATTATCTTGTGATCAGATAGAGATGGTTCACTCGATACCATCCAGTTTTTAAACTAGATCTTTAATGCTCGGTGTGCTTAATGTGATGTCTAATACCTCACTTCTTGCCCTTGTTACAAATGTTAGAGTATATCCAATATTTTGCACAATAAGGTTTTTATTAAAAATATATTCTAAAAGTTGCTCACCTCTTTGATTGGTGTCGTTGCTTCCCCATACGGTGCTGTGCGCGTTGGCGTCGCATCCAAGAAGTAATGGCAGATGTCTTCTCTGGCAGTACTCCGCTACCCTTGATACTTCCGGGGGTGGTACATGCCCATCTCCGGCGAAGTAACTAGAAGCTATTACTATGTCTTGCCGCCTCATCCCTAATTCCAGGTTTGCTCGAATTGGAACGAGATCACGCGTCATAAATTCTGAAAGACAAGAATATTTAATATTACTTCTTACCATTATGCATGTTCTGGGTACTTCATCACTAGTGTGATAAATTACCCTTGCATCCTTACATGCAAGTCCTCTTACCTGGTTTCCATATACTCACGGTTTCTGGATCAGTACGATCCCTAATTGGTTTTTAGTAAATGTCCTGGAGATCACAGCCGAGGCTCCCTTGGCGTGATGGACATTCACATGGGCGATGTCGATGCCCGCCATTTTACTCTCCTTTAATGGAGGTGTTGTCCCCATCGGTGAGGGTGTGTTCCGTATCCCCCTCTTCTGCTTCTTCATCAATTTCTACATCCTCAGATGAGTCTACGCAGAGATTTGAGAGGTTAAGGCTCTCTATGCTCTCCACATCAGTCTCATCTTTGGAAGTACTAGGCGTTGGTTCTGTTTTTTCTCCCAGTTCCTTTGTATCCTGTTTCTTTTGAAGGCCGTTTACGGGGATTTTCCCGAATCGATAGTGGATGGTGCATCCATTATCCTTGATCCGTTGGCAGGATAGGTCATCTATTCCTAACCTAAGGATCTGGCCTTTGCCCTCGTCTTTTTGGCTGACGATTTTCCACAGTGTGGTCGATAGCCCCACATTCTGCGCTTCTTTTAACTGTAGAAGCTTCTCTACAGGCTGCCCTTGACTTCTTAGGAGAAAGAGCGTGGCTGTATGTGCTTTCGGGATGTCGTCTTCCGCACATACCTCCAACTCCACTTCCTTCCAGTTGCTCAGGTGTGGGATTTTTGCCCTGAGCCATTCTGATGACTGGGGTTTCACAGTCGATTAAAATCATTTCTGGCCGGAAGTGGATGCCTCCGAATTGGAGCTTATGGTAGTAATACCCATAGGGGCATTTTCTTGAATACATTAATTAAAAATTAAACTACGTGTAACTAATTTAAAAAAAATAACTGTTATATAAATTCAATGTATCTGTCTTTTGCAGCTTGCCTGCAATAGTATATTCCTCTGGTAATATCTTTTAATTAGAGTTTCTTTAATCCCACATTTCTTTGTTTTTATTTTATAGTTTCGTACTATATTTACAGCTGAAACAATGCAAAATATAATATTAGATTGTTTAGCCTCAAAGACTTTTATTACATTATAAAAATAAAAGGTTTGTTCATGGGCACGAGACTGGCGAAAAATATCATAATATTAGGGTAAAATCATATGCACAGCTTTAGAAATAATTTAAAACCGCTTTACTTCAAAGAAGTTTCTTGTATACTATTTAAAATAAATAAACGTTTCTTCTACATTTGTTGCCTTCATTTAAAATCTCAAAATACCAAGATGTAGGCTACTAGTTTGACATTTTGGAAAAATGTGTTGCCTAACCTAGTAGTAATTGCATCAAAATGGCCGCGCCCAATGTTGGGCGTGTCGGACCTCTCTTGTGCACCGTATAGTAATTAAAGTATGTGTGTACGAGCGATAAATGACAGTTTCACAAACCGTGATCGTTTGCCCCGTTATAATCGCACTATATAATATTAACGGACATATAAGATTAGGTTCTTTTGGCAATAACAATACATGTTTTTTTTTTAAATTAATTGGCCTACATAGCTAGGATCACTACATATATTTTTTCATTATAATTGACAGTTTAGATTGAACTCTTTAATATTATCATAAATTTTAGGAATATGCTGTTAATTTATGTTTCTTTTACCATATTTTTTAGGGTTTTAGGGATTTTTTATTTATACTTCATTTTTAGTCACTGACACGAAAAAGAAAGTACTATAAAAAAGAAGTTTATTGTTTTTTTTTTAATATTTTATCACAACTGACGAGCAGGAAACGAATAATATCAGCGATGCCAGTTTATACTGAATTGTTACGTTGGCCTAGGCGTATAAACTGGCATAACTGATATTATTCGTTTCCTGCTCGTATAATGCTAACTCTCTATAGTTTTCACAGGTACTTGTGCAAAAAAATAACCCTGGACTAAAAATATATAAATATTTTATCCTAGAAATAATTTTTTTTTGGGCATTTTTGATATCATCTTCAGTTCATGAGATATAGTAAGTTTTTAAATTGTCACACACTTGTCAGGTGTCAGTTGTCATTTTAGTAATGACTACTATATTTAACTATTTTATATGAATGGCAAGATTCAAATTTATATTTGATTAATACTTATTTTTTCTTTTTGCACTGATTGCTGAATCATTACATTAGAAATGTTAATAATGTCTTAAAATAATTTAATGGTAGGAAAATTATTGTATGCATTTTGAGCGAAAAGTTCGTTGCCGCTCAAGCGGCAAAGTATTACTTTTCGCTTTTAATACACAAATAGCTATTCAGAAGTGATAATGGTATTAAAGGGCGTAAGCTATAATAATTATTTCGTACATACCAAAAATACGTTAAAAAAATCATAATTTTAATAAATATATTGAAAAAATAAATTTACCTTACCGTATGCTCTCAGTCCTTGACCGAGGAGACCAATCCTTACTCCTGCTACCGGATCGCAAACCTCTAGGTCCTAAAGATCGTCTAGTTTTCCAATTTTCCATATGATGTCGCAAAGTGTTCTGCACTTCAGTATTAAGGAAGCAGTAGAAAAGAGCCACAGTAAATCCCTGGAAATAAAAATGGTTTTTATTATATCATTTGTAACTATAAAAAAATGACAGATGATGGCCATTTTCAGCGCAAATTTGATGTAAATCGCGTACAAAAGAGTTGCTTTAAACTAATATCCGACAAGCTCAAACAAGTAAAATGGTTAAGTACGTTTGTAAGATAGATCTAGTTAGACTACTAACATTCTAGTCTAGCTGGACAGTGGTCATAGGTGAGGTTGCCAATGTCACAATTTAACATAAAGTAGTTTTATTTATTATATCCTGGCCTACAGACCTAGGATATTACAACGTTCAATAAACGGAAACTTCATGCCTTATATTTTTATTATAAAACACTAAATAAAAACTCCACCCTATCTCGCAGTTGACCTGGAAGAGTCTGTTATAGGCTTGGCAGGGTGTCATGTGATTTGATTCCATGTTTAATATAGGATTATTTACTTCATGTGTTATGTTTTGTATGTCCCAGTGAGTTCCAGTTGTTGGAGATGTCCAGTCTGTATGTACTCATTCTGGCCTCCCTTTTTATGACTAGGTCAAGTGGTGGGAGGTTTAGAATGATTTTCATAGAGGCTGTTGGTATACTTCTTAGTGCTCCACAAGTTATGGATCTTGTTATTGCCAAATACAAACAGTGAACCATTTTCGGTTTTAATCCCAAAGTTTTTCCAAATGCCTGTCTCCCTAGAATGAGAGACATTTTACATTTTTGTTAGTCTGTTTTTGTAAGTGTTGGTTGGAGGAAAATTTGCTATCTAGGATTAAAGCCAGATATTTTACTTTGTTTTGTTTAGCAAGTTTAGACGGTAAAGGTACAATTTTATTTTTAAACCTTGTCAGAGCTCGTTTATAGTAAATGAGAGTCTTTATCCCATGCTACAAGAAAATCTTTTTAAAGTGTTATTTTTATATTTATGAAATAATAGACGAATTAAATTTGTTTTCCAAATAAATTTACAGGTTTTCCACCGATGCCCATACACAATTTAATAAGATTTTACTCCATATAAATTTGATTGCGTAAAGTCACATGGGACACTACAAGGCTAATACATCACCTCCAATTTGCCACTGTTTGATTGACCTTGTACTCGGTAATCTAGTTCTGGAGATCACTGTCTTGATATAACATTTCCAAGTGATGAATTATTTTAAGCCCGTCCTTGTTAATGGAATATCTAAGCACGCCAGGTTATTTAGTTAATGGGTGATATTTATTTTTTCTAACCTTGAACGAAATGTCAGACAGATGCTCTCAAATTTCCATTGTTTTCTTTCGCTTTGCTGACAAAAGTTTAGTTACAAATAGAAATACATTTATAAAAGTCTGTGAACTGTCTAACCATTTCAAAACTAATCGTCATTTCTTTTTTTTATCTCTCTGGATACTTATACCATCTGTTTCGAAATAAAACTCAGTAGATCATCAATAACGTAATAATCGATTCTTTCAATAAATCGGATAATCAGTACACAAATAAAATCAGCAAAAAAATAACTCAGTTTTCACCGAAGCAAGTCGAGATACGTGCAGCGAATTAAATTGTTCAGACAATGCTCGGCAGACTTTTTCAATAAAGAAAGAACCGGATTCTAACCGCTTTAATTAACTTAAAAAAATATCAAGAAAAATCTTCCGTCGAAATGAAACAAGACTCAATTATAAATACAGATAGATACTGCTTTTTTTTTGTTTGCGATAAAGTAAGGAAAATTAATTTATTTTTGAAGTTTTTGGTGAATGCTAAATAAGTTTTTAATATTGGCAAACTATCATACACATTGTAGATGAAGACAAAATAAATTCTGTTTTTCTACGAGTCCCTTACAAGAGATATAAGTCAAACTTTTAAATAAATATTTTTAAAATTTCCAACAATTAAAAAAGTAATTAATATATTTACTTTTCCATAGAAAAAATATAATATTAACAATATGAAATTCCAGCAACATAGAAGAAATTAATAAACACATTAAATAATTCAAAATTGATTATCAAGAATTAAACTTATAATTCGGCAAAAGATAGAAATATAAAGACTAATTAGATTTTTTTTACATTAAAAGTCGTATCGCTTTATTGCAGTCTAATGCATTGGTTTACAAGTCAACGACTCAATTAAAAATAAATAGTTGAGAAAGGATATTAGACTTACAACTACCAAATTTCTAAAATTATCTCCCACCACGCGAAACCCCCTCTCTTAGCAATCAATCTGCGTGGGCCAATAATCGGTATTTAATTCATTTTAACACAAATTCATTTATTAAACTTTCAGCTATCATCGGATTATCTAACCGTACCTCTTGTAGATATTATTTTAAAATTGTAAAAGTTTAACTCTGCCATCTTTAAAAATATATGAGTTCTGTTATATATTTTTTAAAACCATAAGAAATTTATAAAAAAATACTTGCAGACATGAAATCAAATAATAAAGAAACAAAATTGTCTTTATTAAATTTACCCACACGAAAATTCACCAGTATTCTGTAAGTGCAAGACTATACCTATAATCTACTTCTGGTAAGTGAGGGGCAGTCAAACATTATTTTTATTTTTTAAAATAGATGAAAATTCTATTTAATTAGTCAATGTTTCTACTCAATCTCCTTAAAAATGTATCTAAATAGGTATAGTAAAGTATTACATGATATATAAAATTAGGACACCTTACCACCTGTGGTGGTGCTCTTCTACTAAACCTTTATTCTATTTTAAATAACAATATTAATAATTACAAATACTAATTCAAACTTAAACTAACCTAACTTAAAATAAATATTTAGCATGCGGGTCACCTAGAAAAAAAGGAAACACGATTCCAAAAACAAATCAAATTTTTTTATCAAGTATTAACCTTGTCATTTCGTTTTTAAATTTAGTTGGATTTAAAATTTTATAATTTTGTGGCAGAGGATTGTATAAGTAATATATATTATATTAAAAACTTCTTTCAAAAAGAGTTGTTCTATGCATGGGAGGCCTTAACAAATTCTTTCTTCTTACGTTAATGTTCTAAATGATAACTTCTGTTTATGTTCTGTTTATGTTCTGTTTATGTTCTGTTTATGTTCTGTTTATGTTCTGTTTATGTTCTGTTTATGTTCTGTTTATGTTCTGTTTATGTTCTGTTTATGTTCTGTTTATGTTAATATTTGATTTTACGCTTCCATCTTTTATAAAAAAAACATTTTTCCGGGATATTATTAAAAAAATCAGATAAAGCAAACTTTTTTAATCACTCTGTATAAATTGTAAACTCGCAAAATCATATTCCAAAACACACTTCATGAAATTATGATCAAACTGTGAAAATTTCATTAAAATCGGTCAAAATCTTTTTAAGATATTAATAAGAAACTATTAAAAAAATAACATCCTGTATAACAAATTCCCTCGTACATGATACATTTGTTGCGTTGGTAAAGTACCTCGTTTTGTTTTTTGTTTACTCGAAACCGTTCTTTTTCTTCGTTTGCTCCATTGATATGGTTTGCTCGATGTCACGTGACCAGAAAATCTACTTGCTCTGCTCAAACGTAACATTTGTTTTTGAAATTCACTTGAAGTTAATATTTGAATATATACCAAGCTTTTATAAAGGAATATTTTTCAGAGATTATATTAAAAAAAAAATCAGATGATACAAAATTTTTGATTGATACTGTATAAACTGTGAAATCATCTAAAATCATCGTTCGAAACACATTTCATAAATTTATCAACAAACTGTAAAAAATTTATTAAAATCAGTCAATGTCTCTTTTAGATAGGTATTAAAAAAATTTAACACCCTGTACATCTGAAAGGAAACAAATTAGATAATTTTTAATCGGACGATCTGTATTTTTTATAGCTATGCTGTTTAAATTTTAATCCAAATCTGTACTCAGTACACCATTCGGTTAAAGTGGACGTGGCAACGTTGTAATCAAATTGAATCCAATCAACGCAACCTAAAAATTTGACATGTAATTTTAACCAAATAATACAGAACACAAAATTAAAAATATTATCCGGTTATTTAGTTACCAAATTTTTACAAAATAGACCCCAAAATACCATTATCATTCTAGAAACTACCTATACAATTCTTGATGACGCATTTGCAGATGCTTCAAATCGGGTACAAAAGCATAATAAGTTGTAATTATTAAGTAGGCTATGGATTTCGTTTACTAACGCCACCAATTATTTAGATGACATATTAAAATGGCTGCTGGTATGTGGTAGTGAAATAACATTTTTTAAGAAGAAACAATGTGGTTTATCGTTTTTTTTTGTTAGAAACATGAAGGATTAGTTGGAATACATATTTATTATTTAGTAAAGGTAAGACGATGCATTTTATATAAAAAGCGAATAGGTATCTGTCAACATTTATGGTTTCGAAATCTGTAGAATGAGAAAATAGTATATTGATTCATTATTGTAACAATATTAATGGAATTAAAGTAAATATACAAATGTTTGCTCTAGACACTATATTTAATGTAATAATTACTTTTTTTATGAAATTTGTGGCTGGCTGACTTGCAATTCACAATCGAATTTTGCTAGGATAACCTAATAAAAATATACCTAGAAGTTTTTCGTGCTTCTTTTTGTATATTTCTGTTCTTGTTTTAGCTAATCTAATGTAAGAATCTGGTACCTACACCGAAAAATATACGTTTTTTAATAAGATTTTTTGAAGTTGTTTGGTAAAAATGTTTGTTTTTTTTTACTTTCATGTATACAGTAAGTGATTTTTTTAGACCTCTGGTTTTTGAGAGACCTTTACATTTTGAGTAATTAGATTAAATTTTGGGCATATTCAGTCAAATTTTCTGCAACTTAGGTATGTAGTCGTTACTAACCTATTAACCAAAAGTGTAAATATATACGGGGTGTTAAAGTTGAAATTTACCCGGTTTTTCGGAATTTTTATAATAAAATTTAGGAATTAGATTGAATTTTTAGTTACAAACACACGTTTGCTACATATTCT